TTATTATTATTATTATTATTATTATTATTATTATTATTATTATTATTATTATTATTATTATTATTATTATTATTATTATTATTATTATTATTATTATTATTATTATTATTATTATTATTATTATTATTATTATTATTATTATTATTATTATTATTATTATTATTATTATTATTATTATTATTATTATTATTATTATTATTATTATTATTATTATTATTATTATCATTATTATTATTATTATTATTAATTCTCAATGTTGCTGTTGTTATTTTTACCATCATCATTATTATTATCAATGTTGCAATTGTTGCTATTGTGCATAACTTATTTTTTAAACAATATGTTGCAAATGTGCATTTTTTTTTTTTAATTAATGTATTGCAGATTATTGCAATAACTATCAGTATTTTTTTATTTATATTTGGTTTCCTATTAATGGTATCAACCGTTGTATTCGATTATGTTAGCATTTTTGACTTGAACTTATAATTTTTTGCACTTACTCGCATTATCATGCATTTTACACTTTCTTTTCATGTTGTCATTGTGCTATGCATTTGCATGCCATGCATGCAACGAGCATTTTCAATGATGTAAATATTACATCAAAAATTTCACACACAAATCATTTGTTCCTGCTCTCTTTTGTTGTTTAATTTGATCAAAATAGTTTGAAACTTAATTTTTGGAATTTATTTTTGCTTAATTCAAATTAATAATTTCGCATTTTTCAAAAGAATTTTTTTTTCTTACTTTAGATGACATATCGATGGGAACGTCAACGAGCAATTCAAATGCAAGATGAAATGATGCAACCACCACGTTGTATGCAAAAAGCGGAAGAATTAGGTTATGATCCAATGGATTGGAAAGATTACTTTGCCCGTGATGAACCATTCGTCGATGCTGATTAATTAAAAATTAGTGTTAGTTTTTGAAAATTTGCAAATTTTTACAAATAATTCAAATTTCGCATCATTGGAATTGAATTAAATTATAAATTTCCAATTCATTATGGCATAGCTAAATCACTTTGAGAGAGAAAAACAAATTAAAAATATCATAAATGTTAAAGTTTGATGAAAAATAAAAAAAAAAAGGGACCACGAAATAAATAAGCAGTTCGGGAAAATACTATTTGCATAAAATAAACCTTTCACTTACAAATCACTTTTTTCATGATCTGCTGTTATTAGATAAATTACGATTTATCATGATTTACCATTATTCTTGGACAAATTACGATTTATCCTGATTCATCATTATTCTTCGATGAATTACGATTTATCATTATTTTTGCATAAATTTCCATCTGCAATGATTTAGCAGTGCTCTTGAACTGCTCTTCACCATTTATCATGATCTCGGAATTTTAAAAATTCGATTACATATCGAAATCATTGATATTGCATGATAAGTTGATTATTTGTTGTTAAATAATTTCGTAAAAATTTACATTTCCATGATAAAACTGCGAAATTTGTACAAATTCACTTCAGAATATATGAAATTAAATCGTAAATTTTGGAAAACTTTGTACAAAAATTGATTTCTTGCATTATTTATTGGACAAATAATACATATGAAAAAATTTACTTTAACAAATCAAATGTGTATTATAGCCAAAAATCGCTGTAGTCGATTCGATGAAAAATACATTTCATCTCGATACGTGTAAAAAATACGTCATGCATCATACTGTATGGTCATACTGTATGATTTCGAATACTATATAATACTATATGAATGTATAAATGTAACGTTTTTTTAGCCAGTATTATAGCAAAATTTTGATAGTGGATAATAAAAGGCGCAATTGTATTACTACAATATAAAAATATGATAGCGCAATTGTCATAAAAAGATAAGCATGCTGAAAGAAGCATAAATTACTGTAATAATGGAAAGTTATGATTCACTTCATATCTATTATATCTGACATCATTTGCAAAAAATAGGCAATGTACGCATTCGCAAAACGTTCTTCAAGTATCTATCGAAAATTGAACTGATCTATTCTCAATGATTTACTTCAACAGGATGATTCATTTAACTCATTTTACATTTCAATAGATCAAGTATTTAGTTCATTAATTAGTTCTCCAGGTATTTTGCAATCAATTTTAACTTACATTTTTTCTTTTCCTATCACCCTTCTCTGCTACTCCTCGTCTTTTTCCGTCCTTACCGTTTATTTCCTCCAAATGTTTGACATGAAAATATCAATTTTGATAATTTAAAAATTTAATACAAAATATGTTTTCCAATTTATTTTCATTTCTAATTTATATTGTAAATCTAAACTAAACTAACCATTATTTGTTTGTTATTACATGCATACATGCAGTGATAACTTTAAATTTTATCGCTATCATGAGTGCTGCATCTAATATTTATACATCCAAAATAAATGCATATATACTGTATCCAAAATATCGTATCCACATATATGCCGTAATAATCTAGGATTTTATAAGTATGTTAGATACTGTACGAAAGTGTAAAATGTAAAATACACCTTCGTACAGTATCTAACATACTTATAAATGTAAAATAATTCTTTCTGACCGTCTAAAACAATTGTTTTTTTCGTTTCGAAAGTGTTCTTTCTGTTACTAGCCTTTTTTGAACATTTTGAGTACTAATTAAGATATATCTACATTTTGTCTAACAAATTAAATGTATCAATCATTTTGCATAAGAAAAAAAAGCAATCAAATTATGACAATTTGACAAATTTAGTAACCTAATGATATGAAATGGAAGTAATTAATTTCATATAGTTTATGAATATTATTGATATTATCATCTCAATTGACAATTAAATCGTTTATTTTACATATTAATCATATTTTTAATGATATGTCGAGAATTTTTCTGATTAAAAAATAATTTCTTATTCTAATTCATTTCCCTTATTTTCAATTCTGAATTAAAATTATCGAAATTATCTTTCAATTCAATAATTTCAACCAATTCATATTCACTGATGTTAAATATTTAACGAATTAATATTGTAATATTTAATCACAGTATATTTTAAAGTTTAAATCAATCAATATTTCTACTGTCAATTATAACATATCTTGAAGAATTAATATTCATATATTTGGTATATCTTAATAAAATAAACAATATTCGTTATATTAAATCATTTTATATCGTAATTGGCCATAATACTTTTGCAATAACTTTTCTTTTTGGCCTTTATTTATTCATTTACTTTTTCTTTTCTTGGCTCCTAAATGTTAGCTTAAATTAAGTGGTAAAGTACTTTCAATATTTTATGCTGTAATATTTACAAACATTTATTTTTAAAGGGATATTGGGAAAGAAGTCTGGAAAAGATCCAGAAAAAAAAAATCATCCAGATTCGTTTGAAATTGAATAGATCATTTCCTTCTTTTTTTTTTTCTTCTTCTATCAGGCAAGATTTATTGATAACAGATGTTTTGTTATCTGTTAAAAAAAAAAAAAAGAAAAAAAAAAAGGAAAGAAAGTTGAAAAGGATAATGTGAAAAGTTAGCAAAAAAAAAAGCTAACAAACTATTTGGATAATTCTTTTTTTTTTTTTTAAAGGAAGAAAAATAAAAAGACAAATCAAGTTTTAAAGCATTCTCTCATAACAATAAATCATTATCGTTATCATCATTATCATCACTAGGATTGTGTTACATTTTTTTTAACCTTATTTCGATTTCTATTCAATTTGTATTTTTCTCGTCAATTTTTTTTTTGCTTCCTTCTCTTTTTTTTTTTTTTTATTTT